CGATGAACTCAAACAAAGAAAAATAAAAACAAAAGTAAAACTTTTACTAGTTGCGGATCCAAAACTAAATCCAGTTGTGGTACCAGTAGTGGAGGCAACACTTGTAGTAGTTCCACTAAATAACGATGATTTCGAGGTGGTACCAAAGGAAAATCCAGAGGATTGTGTGGTAGTTGCGATAGGAGCTGTCGTAGTACTACCGAAAGAAAATAACGGCCTCGCTGATCCTTGTGTACTTGCTGTTGTCGTATTTGTTGTAGTTGAAACTGATCCAAAGGTAAATCCTGTACCAGTTCCCTTCGAGCCACCGAACATATTCTATAAATTCCACATCATTTTGATAATTTTCGACAATAAATTTTTGCAAATTATTTCAATGGATCAGTACAGGATCAATCAGGAATGATTTAATGTTCTGGATAAATTCAAACAAATGAAATGGATATCAGTAGTGATCAATTGCTTAAAATTTAAAGCTCAAATGTGATTAAACCCATAACATTAATTAATTAATCATCAAAGGAGTAAGTTAGAGGAACAGATTGATTGAAAATCGGAATCCGAAAACTCAAAAAAATAATTACAGAAGGAAAGTTTTCATTGCAAGATCCAGAACAAAGAAAAGAACACACTTGTGATATCGTCCTTTTCTTCTTTGATGTTGCTCTGTCCGGAGGGTTTTATTTCATTATTGCTTGTTAGATTAGAATTTTACGTATTAATTCCAGTTTTTCAAACATCGACTAAGTGCCACGATGTCAAACATGAGCATTAAAGCTTATATGTATGTAAATTACCTCTGAATTTGCATATATTGAAAAGTGAAAACAAAATACATCTGTATTAAAACTTTTATGATCTGTGAACGTTAAAAATTTTCTTTGTTGACGCATAAATATGTAACATATTTTGTTAACGTGTAGAAATATTATTCTATATGGCTGTCATATTTCACCTTCAAATATAATACACAGCGTCGTTGAATTTAAATCTCATAAACGTCTAAATGTAAAACGTTAATGCATGGATGATAAAAGGTAATATTTGAAATGTGGATGATAAAATGTTACGTGTAATTCCTAGACTCAAAATTCTTTTTGACATACTGAAATTGTATGCATTAGCATTGGGCTAAAAAACGGCTTGAATCATTCATAATTCACTAAGATTTATTTCAAATAAGAGGTCCAAGTGTTTTCCATGTCTTATATCTTTGAACCTTAAGCGAGCAATCGTAATCATAACTCCACATCTGTGTGTCTGGCTATATTTACCTTGCAAACGATAATCAATCGATAAGGCAATTAGATAGTCATACGATAAGTTTTGGTTATTTCATGCTATATTATCACTTTATCTTATTTTATATAAATCTGCATTATTTTGAAGATTTGCGAGCGTACAATAAGTCACTTACATATTGAAATATAAAGATTATTACTACATATTATCAAATTTCATCTTTTTTCTTTCTTTTTTGTTATCTTCAGCATCTTTTGTAACCTTTAAATTATTCAATTGAAATTGATTATTGTAGTGAAATTGGTCCATTTTGGTTTAAAGTGATTCAGAACGGCTGCAATTTATGCTCAGTTTTTTCTTCTTTTAAGCTAATTTTTTTTTTCTGCTCCGATAGATCGGTTTCAACTTAATTAATTTCCTTAGTCAGCTGTCATTTCCGGAAATCGATTAGCACGGTTGTGCCATTTATTTAATTGATGCATATCGTGCGCGCATTTTTGTCGCTGGGGAAGTCACTCAAT